AAATACCATTTATAAAATACTTTAAACATTGGATCTAACTATTTTGTGAAATTACTTATATTTCAATGTATTTTAAATTCCATTATAGGTATTAAGTAAGTTTATCCTCAATAAATTACTTGTAATTATTATAGGTAACTAGTGATATGAATACATGATTATTAAAAATTAAAGTATTTTATCACCTATTTAAAAAATGAAAAGAAAAAGTTGCTATATTGAATATTTTACTTAAATTACTTGCTGTAATTGATGTGATAAATTTTAATTCAATATTAAAGCTTTGTATATATGATAAAAATCTATTCTGCAGAGATCTATTAACTTAAAATATTTCCTTGGATATTTATCCAATTTATGGATATATATTGTAATGTATATTTATTATTTATGTTAATATTAGTAATACAGTAAATTTAACTAATTTTTGCTAAACACAAATCACTTGTCAGTATAAATAGCTTAAAATTAATTTAAATATTTGAAAATTGAAATAGTGTGTATAGTTAATAATATTATACATAATTTAAAAAAGTATTATGGCTCTATGAATAATATTTTTTGAACTACGACAAAATAACTGGAATCACAACCTTGAATATTAACAACTGTCATTTACAGAAAAGCTTAATTATTATTAATTATAATACTTAAAATGTTATTATTATTTTTCTCACATAAGCTAACAATAACTATTGCTATTTAGTTATTTAGTTATTATTTTATTTAGTTATTCTATAATCAATGCTATGGCTAATGGCAGTTGACCCTGTGATAGATATTTTACTGTTAGTGCACTATTTGTTATCTCTGGCCTTCACATAACATAAAAACAACAAAATCACTTTTTTTTTTTTTTTTTGAGCTAACTTTAAATAAAATCAACTACCTATAACAAAAATTTTAGAGAGTTATACTTTTAGATTTCAATTTGTTTAGGTATAAATATATATGATGTTAAAACCACTAATGAAGATAAAGCTAATACATTCACTTAATAAATAACTGAACTATAAATAATTATTAAAAAAATTTTTGCCCAATGTTGTTTTTGTATCAATTATTATTAAGATATAATACAATCGGCAGTCAGGTTTCGAATAGAGCACTGAAGCGATTAATATAGTGGTGTTACAATTAGATATGTTTATTCTGTGTCAGGCGATACCTATAAGAATAATACAAATACTTAATATTTCAATTTGAAAAAGGAATTTCTGGTTAATTGGATCTAGTTATTACTTAGAGTGTCAAAAGAAAAATTTTAAATAATGAGTGAGTGACTTTACAGTAAATAATTAAAATTTTAACACAAATCTGATTTTCGACAAAATATATTTTCTAATTATGTTATAATTCATAAATTATAACTTAACATACCTACGTCACATATTTATCAAACGTTTATATCATAATTTTTTAGGCATAAAATATTTAATATTTGTCTCTTTTTGTACTATTTATAAGCATTTGAAAATTTAAATTTTTTTTAGTTTTTTACAATTTATGCATAATAAAATTGGTTTTTAAGTTAAAAACCTTGAAAATTGTATACAAGGTTCCTCGCATGTACTGAGTAGTTCATATTATAAATACATTGTCACCATTGAAAAAAAAATTTTATCAAATTTGAAATTGCTGAAATTTACTAATTATTTTTTAGGAAGGTATTTTTGGTTTAGTTATAAAAATAAATTTTACAATCTGTACATTAAAAAAAAAAATTACAGTAAGCAAATGGGTTAACAAAGCAATGATAAATAAACTTGGAAATAGTGAGTAAATAAACTATCCAGTGATAGGACCCTTTTAGCAAGATTCGACTATAAAAGATAAATATGACAATGTGTTTTTAACTAAATGATTACACATCAATGTTTTTCAAGACAAAAGGGGGGCTGTCAAGAATTAAAGCTGTGTTCTGGTTTATGACTGAAGGATTTGTATAGTGAAGTTATTTAGAATGGTACTTTTTATAGTAAGTTTTAACTAAATTTTCAACTGCTTCAATGTTTAAGTTTTTATAAAATATGTGATTTGTAACCAGGAAGCAAATGTGATTATATGAAGTGAAATTGATTGGAAAGATTCAATTGTTTTTAGTTGTGTTGGTTTAGCATATCCCCAAATTAGAGCCCCTTATGATCAAATTGATTTTAAAATTGACTTATAAATAAGAATATTTTGTTGTGAAGTGGAAGTTTGGATTTTAAATCAGGATGTGATAAGTGAGATCTAATGTTAAGTGACTTTCTTTTGAATTTGAGGTAAGAACCAACCCAGGTTAATCTTTTGTCTAAAATATTTAACATAAGACAAGGAGGAGATAAGAACACCTTTGAAATAAAAAAATAGGCATTTATTTTTTGTTAAGAGTATAAGGAACATTTTTCAAATTTGTCAAAATTAATTTTAATTTTTCAATTAAAGAATCATTTTTCTGTATGATCAAGGTGGTGTTAATGAGTATTGAGTACTTTGACCGGATCATTATTGAAAAATAAGATAGATTAGCAAGGATAGTGTTTTGGATTTAAAGAATATCAAGTGAAAATACTCTACAGGTTAGAAAAGAGATAACTTCTCTCCTGCTAAGATAGAAAAAATAAAGGAAAAATAATTAGGTACTGTGACAAACTTTAAAAGTACGATTTTCAAGGTATGAATGAATAAAGGGGAAATGAAGGGGAACAGGAAGGAATAATTTAATTTTATAGAGCAAGTCTATGTGCCAAACATTATCAAAGACTTGAGCCAAATCCAGGAAAACCCCCAGAATTTTATTGATAGTTAAAAATTTGATTTTACTTATTTAATTTTTGATACCAAAGGTTTGAAAATGTTATGTAACATCCTATTTAAGTTGTTTTATAGCAACTAAAAATACATTGGCATAATTTCAATGTGTATATAATTCAAATTTTAACATAGACAGAAAAAATTGAACATTTTTTTTTTTTTGTTTATAAAATATATAATACAATTTTAGATTTTAATAATTTAGGCTTGAATATTTTACAAAAGATTCTCCACAATTTTCTTACAAGAGCATAATATTTGTATGAATATTACCATAGTATATACCTACAGTCGTCATATTTTGTTGAACATTCGAAAAATGTACTCTAAACCTTCGGTAACAATAAACCCTAGAATCCCTCCTTATATGCACATACAATATACTTAAACGGATATGTACTTAACTTAATAGTTAGGTATACATGGCGATGTTTTAGACCTAAGCTAAGTTTTATAAAGTATGAGCATTTTAATTTTATTAGTTTAACGATCGAAAAGTTCAATTACAGTTATAGTGTATTTGAATATTTGGTATTTATATTTTTGCATGAAATAAAACATAGTTATATTAAAATGTGTCATAGTTGAATAAGATAAAAGATATTTAAATTGACCTGCCTTATACTACGATTACAAGTTAAAGGTTCATTATTTAAGCAATCCGTAAGATACAAATTAATGAAAAAAATGCTTTTAAATATAACTCTAAAGTAATATGTTGGTTATGGATCATCACCGAAAAATAAAAAAAATAATCATACTGAAATTAGCTTTGAGCTATTTTTGGAATATCTATTAGTTTTAAGTTTTAACCGCGTCCTCCAAATTTACGTCAATATTTTAATGATATGAAATATTACTCATATTTATATAATATAATTTATAATATACATTTTACCGGTTTCATATTTTAAAAAAATATACGTTTTTATACACATTTTTTTTTTATGATATGAAATTTTATCTTGTATATTTTTCATATTTTACCAATTTAGAATTTAAAGAACAATTTATAACTTTTTATTGGTTTTATATGTTTTTGAGTTAAACTTTGAATCGGATTTTGTAAGTCTGTTAAATGAACTGAAAATTTCAGTCGTAGGTAAATCAATTTTATTTAAATTGTCTAAATACCAATAGAAAAAAGGTCTTACGCTATTCAATCAACGATTATTTTACCAATTTGGTTAGCTTATAATCATACTTTCATTTAGTTTTTACCGATAACTGATAAGTCATTATTAAAAAATAATAATTAAAAACGATAAACTTTTATTTTTTATGAGCATGATATTCCGCTATTTTTAAGGCATATATGAGTAAAATATCGCATGCTTGAGTATTTTTTAGTACTATAAAATCTGAACTCTAATTATATGAAATGTTACTGTATCATTATTATATTATTGGATATAAAGTTTTTGTAGAACTAACCAATTTTTAAATTTCAATTAGTCTCCCTCCCTCGCCCCAATGACTCTTAAAACCCGTACTTGATGAACCTTGCAGCATATTTATGTAATTTATGTTTCCTATACACAGTACTTATTATTTATAAAATTTATAATCATAAATTGATGGAGTGTCTAGTGAAAAAACGCGCGACCGTTTACGAATAATATAAACAGTGCAATTCAAAATTAAAATTAACATCAACGCCGAGTCCAAATGTGCCGATCAAACACACAACACACACACATCCAAAGACTCCAAAGTGATACTTAATTCGTATCAGTACAATACACAGAATTGAGAATACAATAAATTATCCACAATCGTCAATTATTCAATAATTTCAGTCGGCACTTGGCTGTCGCCTGTCGCCTGTCAAGTGTCAATGTGTTTTGTTTATCGCCGCCGCCACTGTATAAGAGCGCTGTTCGAAATCGAAAAGATCGATTATGTTACGTATTTTATTCTATTTGATCGATTGTTCTACTTCACAATCGTTCGATACATAACTTCCGATGTTAAAATATACCATTGTCAATATCGATTATTATCATATACGAATAGTAAATATAATTATTGAATTAAACGCTTGTGATGTGTTACAAATTTACAATAGTACTATAACATGATAAATTACTTGTGGTTTTATATATATATATATATATTTTTTTATCGGAATCGCCAGTGATTTCGCTCACAGTCTACAATATTATAATAAACTCATAATTGGTACGAAAATCGATTTCGTCGAAAAATCGAGCATACGCATAATCGATTACTACTACTACTCACCACAAGACACTATCAACAAATACCCATACTATCGCGTATTCGTGTGTTCACCGCGAATTGTATTGAGCGTGAGCATCGAGCATTTGGCAGGCAAGCGGGTAGCCCCCAGCGGCCGAGCAAGAAATCAATACTTTCCACCAACACCTAGTGGACGGTGTCGTGTACGTTTCGAGAGGCGTTCTTGTCGTACACTTTGTACACCGTCTTAGTAAAATCAATTCTCGAGTCAAATCTTGTAAGTTCGTCAAGTCAGTATTTCGATAAATGTGAACCAGCTATTGTGGTGGCTTTATAATATTGTGTTTTTTATTTTCATTTTTTTCATTTTTTCTGCTTGTCCATAATAATTGTATAAAGATCAATAATCCGTGACACCGCTTTATTACTTTCCATATTGTTATACGACCACCATAATAATTTTGCATTGTATTTTCGCTTGTTTGTTCTTTTTGTTTTTTTTTTATATTTTTTTTTTTTTTTTGTTTTTAGTCCGAAATCGAGCTACCTACTTACCACCCATGTATGTTTGAATAAACCATTTAAGTCGGGGGAGGAGGCACTGAACAATGTCTGCCAAACAGACTCCGTCAATCATCGGCAAGATTTACAGAGCCTATGAAAAGCCATCCAACAGTCATTGCGTTGTTCTAGAAAATCGTATGCAAGCTGAAGTATTGTTATTTGAAAACAACACTCTATGTACGGCCACAGCTAGTGAGTTTGACACGTTCAAACGTCAGTGTGTGAAAATTGTAGACGCATACGGATGTCTTGGCGTTTTGAATGTAAATATTGATAATAAAGTAGCACTGTTCCTGGTTTTGGTAACTGGCTGCCAATCAGTTGGCAAGATATCTGATGCAGAAATATTTAAAATTACACAAACCACGTTTGTTTCATTGCGTAAGCAACAGAGCGATGACTATGCATCTGAAGTACGGAAGCTTTTAAACAGCGGTAGTTTTTATTTTTCGAGGTATGTTTCACAAGATGTTCGTTTTGATTTGACCCTGTGCGCCCAAAGACAATGGAATAACTGTGTTCCTGATAATCGTTTTTTTTGGAACCGTAATTTACATGTTTATTTTATACATTTTGGAATTAATACCTCCCAATGGTTAATGAAAATTGTTTGTGGCAGTATTGAGATAAAAACTGTCTATGCAAGACATAAACAAGCCAGAATTGCTATAATATCAAGATTGAGTTGTAGAAGAGCTGGAACTAGGTTTAATGTCCGTGGTTGTAATGATGACGGTTATGTTGCAAATTTTGTTGAAACTGAACAAGTAATCTACTTGGATGATGAAGTCACTTCTTTTGTGCAAATAAGAGGTAGTGTACCACTATTTTGGGAACAACCAGGAATGAATGTTGGAGCACATAAAGTAAAACTGTCAAGAAGTATAGAATCTTCAGCAGATGTTTATGAGAAACATGTTAAGTCACTAATAGATTGTTATGGTAATATAATTTTCATTAATTTATTAGGTGGAGCTAATTCAAACAGTAAAGAAAATGAATCTGCTTTGAGCTATGCGTTTGAACAAAAACATTCCACCTCAGCATTTTCTTTCATACCATTTGTTGCATTTGATTATCATCAAGAGGTTAAAAGTAATGGAGATAAAAGTCTACAAAAATTGAAAAACTCAGTTGATCCATATTTAGATTCATTTGGTTTGTTTTACGCAAAAGGTAACTCTGTTGTTAAACATCAAACAGGCTCTATGAGAATAAACTGTACTGATTGCCTTGATCGTACAAACTGTATTCAAAAATTTTTTGCTTTGGAAGTATTGGCCAAACAACTTGAATTTCTTTGTCAAAATGAAACTGATCAAATAATATCAAGATTTGAAGAAGTATTTCAACAGCTTTGGGTAAACAATGGCAATGAAATAAGTAGAATATACGCTGGTACTGGCGCAATACAAGGTGGATCAAAATTATTGGATGGAGCTAGATCTGCAGCCAGAACTATTCAAAATAATCTGTTGGATTCTAGTAAACAAGAAGGATTTGATATATTATTATCTGGTAATGCCTTTAACAATGAATTGTTAGCAAAAGCTAAAGCATTACTTCCTTATAACACTTGGCAATGTCATCCAGATTTAGCAGAAGAAATGTGTAAAAAATATAAATCATATACTTACAAGAGTAATTTAAGAATTTCTATTGCTACATATAATGTAAATGGAGGTAAACATTTTTTGAATTTTGATTCTAGTAACTTAGAATCATTATCCAAATGGCTCTTGGATCCCTATAAAGTATCTTTATTTGATCCATCAAAAAAGTTCTTCCTAAATGACAATAATAATCTTCCTGATATTTATGCAATTGGATTTGAAGAAATTGTTGACTTAAATGCTAGCAATATTATGGCTGCTAGTTCAAACAATGCAGACTCGTGGAGTAAAAGCCTTAAAAACATTTTGTCTTCTAAAAGGGATTATGTCCTACTTACTAGTACACAACTAGTTGGCGTTTGTTTATTTATATTTGTTAAACCAGAGCTATTACCTTATATTAAAGATGTAACTACAGACTCTGTTAAGACAGGAATGGGAGGTACAACTGGTAATAAAGGAGCTGTGATGGTGAGATTTACTTTAGATGCTACAAATCTTTGTTTTATATGCTCCCACTTTGCTGCTGGGCAATCACAAGTTGCTGATCGTAATGCAGACTTCAATGAAATAGCAAGAAAATTGAAAATTCCTATTCAATCAAATGATTATGTTTATTGGTGTGGAGATTTTAATTATCGGGTGGATATGGATCGCTTAGATCTCATAAATCATGTACTAGATGGAGACTTGGAAGAAGTTCTGAAATATGATCAACTTTTAGCACAATGCAGAGATAAAAAAGTATTTGAAAATTTCTTTGAAGCTCCTATAACATTTCCTCCAACCTACAAATATGACATACTATCAGATGAATATGACTCTAGTGATAAATGTCGTACACCGGCTTGGACTGATCGTGTACTTTGGTACTGTAATGAAAATAATGATTGGCCTAATGGTAAACAAGTATTCTATGGACGTGCTGAAATTAAAGAGAGTGATCATAGGCCTGTAACAGCTTCTTATGAAATTGAAATACTGTGTATTGATCAAGCTCTAAGGGAAAGAGAATTAAATGTATTATGGAATGAATACGGACCAATTGATGGTGTTATTTTAGTACATATTGAAAACACTGACTTTCCTTTAAATGATGAATCATTTAAAAATATAATGCTTCAAGGTTTGGGTTCTTTTGGTAAAATTTTAAATGCAAGATATTTCACAGATCATGCTGAAATCATCTATGAAAATGGTCGTTTTGCAGCTAATGCTTTAAAAATAAAACAAATATCAATTTATAACTATACTTTAATTTTAACTGCTAAAAATAATAATTGGGCATTAGCTATAAAAAATGAGATCGAAACTATCACTAACAATATAGTGCCCTTATGGACAGACAAGTTGAGATCTGCTCCAATGAGACCTCCATTACCTGCAAGATCTGATCAAAGTCCAAGTTCAGATGGAATGCCGAACTATCCACCACCTTCAAACGTTCCTTTACCGCCACTGCCCCCAAGACAACGAATGCCTCCTCCACTCCCTCCCAGAAATGCGTGATGTCACTGCATTAACTAAAGTATATTATCAGTCCAATATTATAATTTTTTAATAACTTACCTATTGTATTCATTATGTTAAATTACATTTTAATTGTATGCAAAATTGTGTTTTAGATCATAGGTTATTGTTATTTATGCTGATTATTATCTTCTCTAATGTTACTCTATTAACTATTATTTATTAGATTTTTATTATAAAATTAAATGTGTTATTTAATGTTTACATTGGATAAATAAATGCTACATAATGTTATTTACAATGCATACTTCTTACATTTTGTATCAGTTATTTAATTGTTTGTTGTATTATTTTACATTAGGATTATAGTTCCTGAAGTTGTGCTTGCATGTTATTATTTCTGTTATTTTATTAATATAGTATAATTATTTTATTAAATTTGATTTTGATTTTAAACACAAAGCTGGTACACACAAACCTTACTTATCTTTTATCTAAGATTTGTTTTTTTTATTTAAAAATAAGAACCATGATGTTAAATAAATGGATGCAAAATTTGGATCCAAGCTCTCAAGATTTGTACTTATGTAATTTTCGAGTGTCAGTTGAGGGCGAATGGTTATGTTTACGTGAAATAACTGATGATCCGTTATCTGATATTTTTCCATCACAATGTCTCACTTCTCCAGACTTACCATTCTTATTAGGTATTCGTTAATTAAAAATCATGATAATTTTTTTTAACCTACCATTTTATGCTAGAATAATACAATTATAATTGTTGAATTTAGATCGTGACCCTGTGTTGATCGAGAGACGTAACCTGGTAAACATATCCAAGCTGATTGTTAAAGAACTAATTGAAAACTCATTGAAAAATGGACGTATGCTTGATTCAGATCATGCACCTTTACAACATTTTTTTATTGTCTTGGAGCATGTCCTTAGACATGGGTTACGCCCTAAGAAAGGACTTTTGGGTCCCAAAAAAGAATTATGGGATATATTGCAAACTGTTGAAAAATTAACACCGGATGCACAAGAATTAACAAATAGTATTCGAGATTTACCTACTGTCAAGTAAATTTAAATTATATTAACATATGAACTTTTTTAAATTACTATTTTTTCAGAACTCCAATGGGTAGAGCAAGAGCTTGGTTAAGAGTAGCCTTAATGCAAAAAAAGTTGGCTGATTATTTAAAAATTTTAGTAGACTATCGTGATGAAGAATTAGTAGATTATTTTGAACCTGATGCTCTAATGATGAGTGACGAAGCTATTATTATTGTTGGCCTTTTGGTGGGCCTTAATGTTATCGATTGCAATTTGTGTATTAAGGCAAGATATTAAAAAATTAAATGGATTGTTATCATTTAGTTAACAATTTTATATGTTACTAGGAAGAAGATTTAGATTCACAACAAGGTGTAATTGATTTCTCATTATATCTACGCTCAAGCCACCACCCTAATCATCATATACAAGGCACTGTCAGTTGTCCTGATAGTCCTTTAGGTCTTGAATCAGAAAATATGAATGTAGTACTTGATCAAAAAAATTATATAGAAGAACTTAATTGCCATCTTAAGTATGTTTTATGTCTAATTAAATTTTATGAGATAACCATTTTAATGGTTTTTAGGGCAACTGTGGCAAATTTAGAGTCAAAAGTAGAAACACTTACAACGTCTAATACTTTGATTAAAGAAGAACTTGATATGGCCAATAACAGTTATGCAATGTTGAAAGAAGAAAACCAATTAATTAAAAATCAGTTGATGAAGCAAAATGATTCCAAAAATGTAGATATATAATTTTAAACTTTTTATAATGAGGATAAGATTAATTTTTTCTGATCTAGTATTTCTGAAAAGATACTCTATTATAATAATGTTAGTTACCTATGTAATAAATATTACAGACTGAACCTTTAATTATTGATATTCCTACTGGAGACATGGATACGCTTAAGCAATTTGCAGAAAATGAAAAAAAACAAAGAATTGAAGCTGAAAAGGAACTTCATTTACAAGTATATATTATTGCTTATGAAATGAACAAAAATTGAGAAGCCTATTGTGTTATGTTATTAGATGAGCCTTAAAGCTGAAATGGAGGTTGCAATGAAACTTTTAGAAAAAGAAAGTCGAGAAAAACAAGAAAATATTGTTTCACTAAGAAAACAATTAGATGACATAAAAATGATTAACTTGGAAATGTATAAAAAATTACAGGTGAGACCCATAACTAAACTGTTATATATTGTTAACTTTTTGTTAAATATTAATATTTAATTATGGTTGATGATTGGTTATTTAAAATGTTATAAAATGTGATCTACAATATTGGGTCGGGAAATGATCAGGAATGCGAAGAAGACTTGACCAAGAAAGCTGAAATGGTGAGCCGGCTACAAAAAAAAACTGAACAAATTGGTTGCTTGCTGAGCAATTTACAGTTCCACGATGCACAACAATTAAGATTGAGAAACAATGCCGGCATGAGGAATTCCAATTCAGACACTAGGTTGGCTTCTCGACCAGATAGATCACTTCACCGGCAATCATACACTCCAGTTTTGAAAGAAAATGCTCCAAGTCCTGAGCCATTAACTGATCCCGAACAATCAAATAATGTTTAGATTTGATAAAAATATGTTTTTATAGTTAAAATGCCAAATTTAGAGTAAATAATAAAAATTAGGTTAATTTTCTTTATATTTCTTTCTCTTGATAAATTAGTTGAAGGTTTAATTGCAGGAGAGTGAGAGTTCGCTTAAGCACAAGTCAGAGTTTGTTTCTAAATTGGAATCAAAAAATGTAACATTAACAGAGGCTTTGAAAAAAACTGAAGAGGTGTATGTATTTGTTTATTAATTCATATTCCTTTATATTTGAAAATCCAATGCATCTAAATGCAATACCTATTGGTTTGAATTGTTTTACATAATATTTTTATGGCATTTTGGTTATAAAATTTATGATAAAACTTTACTATTCAAAATATCTCTAATAATTATGTTTTGTAATAAAATTGTATTTGGGTGCATTAATTTGTTTATGTAGGATTTGATAAATAAAAAAATGATGCGAGCCACAGACTGTTAGAGAATAGGTCTCTTACATTATGAACATTTATATTTATTTATATTTCGTTTTAATGTATTGATATCATTTAATTAATTATGAAATATAAACTTTTAAACATTATTCTATATACTATTATATTCTTATATGATAATTAATGTAAACCAAACTTTGTATTAGTATTTTAAGTCCTTGTTTTTCTTTATACCATTATTAATATTTTATGATATTCAAATAAAATATAGTGTAAAATGACTTATATTTAATAAACTACTTATTTATTACACGTGCAATGTTCAATAATATCCCAAAAATGTCCTAAAAAAGAATATATATTTATTTATTTATTTATTTATTTATTTATTTTTATTATTTTATTTAAATAATGTTTTTTTTTAGTTTTATATTTTTTGCTTTTTTTTTATTAACACAGAACATGTTTTTGGAAGGTAATTTTTGTGGAAATTGACATTAAACATTGACCATAAAGAATGGCTATTTCAGAGTTTATAATATTACCATTAATATAATTTATTATTATCTTTTTAAATTTAAAAATTATTTTCTAAATTAATCATGTTTGAAATTAGTTCTTTATTTTTTGTTTTAAATTCTGGTAACGTTACCAAATTTTATAACCATCCCTGCCAATTTTTTTCATACTTTTTTTTTATTAAACTTTGATTAGTTTAAGTAAAATTAATTTTTCAAATAGTTAAGGTAGAACATTAGTTTTTGCACTTTGTTGTCTTCATTTTGAAGTTTCCATGTCTATTACTGATTTTATTTAGTATTGCTAATTAAAGGTGAACTAATATTTCTTCCTTACCATACTTATCTAGCAGATAACCTTATCTTTACTATTGGCTTAAGTTAATTTTCTTTTTCTACATTGTCATTCACACGGAATCAAGTTAAATCTAGCATTTGGCTGATGTGCAATTATTTCTATTATAATGTTAACCATTAAGTTTGGTTTACTATAAAATTGACCCATTGTTTTCTTTTTGATACAAATAACAAATTTATCAGTTTTATTAAAATATCTCTCAAAAACATACTCTGTACATAAAAATATAAAGTCAAAACGATAGGTATTTTTATAATTTTTTTATTTGTTTTTATTCACATTTAAAATAGTGCTCGCAACATTTTTTTATTTATCTATTTTTATTTGCATACAATGTATTTCCTTTCCATTTATTCTCTCACTTATCATAGATCGAAAAAAAATGAAGAGGAAAAGAAAAAAATATCTGATTCAATACTTAGATACCACGATCAAATTGCTGGACAGACATCAACTATTGTAAAATTAAAAGAAGATTTAATTAGAGAACAACAATCAAAGATTAACCTTGAAGAACAATTATTCAAAGCAGGAAATCAAACAACTCGTCTTGATGAAGAAATTATCCAACTTAAAGCAATGTCAAATGTAAATTTTTGTCTTGATTCTTTAATCAACTACAATTTTGTTTAATTCAAATGTATTTACACACGCTTCTTAGGAGTATATTAATTTACAAGAGGAACATCATAGATTGACAGAGAAGTATCGAGGCCAAGAACGAGCACTTGAAGAGTTGGCCGATCAGTTAAAAAGGGAGATATTAAAGTCCAATGAACTGGAAGAAGCTGCTAACAGTACATTGGCACAAGCTCACTGGGAACGTGACAATGAAGTGGCCAATTGCAAAAAATGTGAAAAAGAATTTAGTTTAACGAGAAGAAAAGTAAGACGATACTTAATTATTAAGCATTAACGTTTAAATTTTTTTTTGTAAATGTTTTATACTTAAATAATTTATATTTATTTACGTATTATTTTTATGTTTCAAAAATAGCATCACTGTAGAAACTGCGGTGGAATATTTTGTGCATTGTGTTCAGACAACACAATGATGTTGCCATCATCTGCTAAACCCGTTCGTGTTTGTGATGACTGCAACTTATTGCTTGTTGAAAGATACTCTGTCGTGCCAAACAATTGACATAAGTATTAATGATAGTTAAAAAATTTTCATACATAAAGTTAAACCTAATAGGTATTTTTATTTTATTATATAACAACTTATGCCATTAAGATGAATGATCTATAGTTATATTAAATTTATATTTTTTATTATCATTACTCATTACTTTAAGTTATAATTTTTATCTGTTAGGAAGTACCTGTGATTTATTAAATATGCTTTATATCAAATTATTACTATTGGTACTATATTATGTGTATACATATATAATATGAAACTATATGTTTCTAGTTGACAAACATAGGTGCATTGAAAAATAATAATTTCTGCTGCTATAATAGTCATAAGTTGTTGATTTTATACACACATTTATGTATAGAATATTATATTGACTTTGCTTAGAAAAACATATTTTTGATACTGTACATTTTTATGAAGCCAATATTAAATAAATAGACTGCTAGATATTATATAATGTAATATGTTGCATTTTAAATAATATTTTGTTTAAACATAAAGTATAAGTTATAAATATTTAAATTTAATTTCTAATCTATAAATATTATATTATTGTTATACCTATGTTTTATATATTATTAAAATTTTACAGCATGTGAGTTATCATTAAATAATTATGATATATATATTTTTATAACAGTAATGTTTCATAACTTAATAAATATGCAATTATTAATGTTTAGGTGTTATTTTATTCTTCGACGAAGGCTTATTGTATTGATATATGAGGAACTTAATGCCCCAGTACACCAACTCAATGATTGTTAACAAACTAAATCCCAAAAACAGACCTGCAATGCCTCCAAATGACACTAAATGATTATAAAAAAAAAAAGATAAAACTATTAATGAATATATCTTAGTCAAAAAAAAAAACATGTGATGATCTTCATAAAAAAAAAAAAAATGGTGTTAACTACTTATAATATATCTACAGATTTTTGCTCGCCTATTACAATGATGATGGTACAGCGTTATTCAGCAGAGAAGATAAATTACCTATGATTTTGAATGAACACTTAATGGTAATTTTACATCTGATAAAATATAAGAACTGTTAAAGAAATTCTTGAGTGAAAATCACAATTTTACTTTAAGTAAAACTTAGTCAAGAACCACTTTATAGCCAGTTGTATTTTAAACGTGATATCTTGCTAACATCCAATCAAAAACTTTAACTATAGTTATTTAAGTAATCATAAGCTGGTAATATCTGTTGTAGTCGTAAAATCGGAAAATCGGTCTATGAAAATTGTAAAATATTTAGAAGTGAATAAAAATACATATTTTATTTCATTTTATAATTTTAAAGGGAAAATAAAATTATTAACAGTACCTATTTAATAAGTTAGGTAAATATTAATTTAAAAAAAAAAAAATTTGTAGGTACTCCATCACAAATCTAATAGGTACCTATACCTATATTCAGTATTTTATCAGTCGAAGAATAATTCCGAAAGAAGTTTTACTTCATCAACTTGTATTCACTATTCGAAATACATACGTTGTTTTAATTTTTAATTTTAATAAATGGAATAATACCCAACAAGTCAATCCAGCCGAACGTCACGTCCCTCTCATACTTCACCGCGCCCTCGTTCCTATAGAAAATGTCCACAGATCCGTAACTGTGCCTCGTCAGTGGCAGTGAATCCAACGAATAGTCCACGTCCAGGTCGAACACGCTTTCGTGACATGTGGGCAAACACTGGGAACAGTTGAGAGGCGATTTCATCTCTGTCAGTAGGAAACCTCTGATGTTGCCTATCGGTGGACTGTAGAACCGCAACTCACTGTTGTGCTGTGCGATGCATAGCAGCTGTGTCGAATTGCATATCGGTACACGGTTGTCTAGAAATGCACAATACGTAAGTACCTAATACATATTAAATTGTTTTGATTTTAAACTTATGTGTACTGCAAGTAGTATGTATTAATTGTATGTTCACACTTTCGCAGCACTTTTCAGCTAGGAGATTAAAAAAGTTTAAGCGAAAATATTTTCCCCGAGCTCATTTTTTTCCATCTAACACAAATCAGTGGTTTTTATGAAAATCTACATACATTTCATAATAAAATAACCAAATTCTATAATTCATAAAAATATTGCTAACATAGCGTTATGTTTATTAGTAAAACGGAAAAAAATGAGCTCGAGGGAATATTTCCACTTAAACTTTTTAATTTCCCTGCTGTAAAATGCTGTGAATATAATACAATTACATACTACTCATAATTTTATTCAACTGATACGTCAATACCTGGTGCAAAAGTACCTAGGTACTTATTAAAAATATTTTTAAAATTCAATTGCAAAAGATATTTAAGTACCTACTCATCTATGGCTAATTTTTTAGTACCAGAATTCATCTAGAGTAAGATTTATTTTTATTAATTTACTATTTTTTTTTAATTTGAGTGTATAAAAAATTAGCAGATAAATCATTCTCGTTGAATTTAGCATAAAAGTATTCTTAAACTTTTCTTTTATTGAATTTAGTATTTTTAAATATAAAATTAAAAATAAGTATTTAAAATATTAATAGGCAATCATTAGAATTATACAAAATTATTTTAATTTTTTTAATTTTCACTTACCGAGCATATTGAAGTAATATGGACGACAACCGCACTTTATTTGTAAATAATTTAAACGGCATTCTATGAGACATGACTTTTGAGTGTACGATTTTGACACACTTAAATGTTGTTCATCGGGAAAATAACAAAACCGCTCTGCCACGGGTAGATGTTTGATCCTATCAGTGCTAATAGTGACAAACGGTTTTACCATAATACTCAACTTGGTCCCTTTTTTTGCCGTAACAATGCTGCCCATACCGGATTCTGGATACTCGTTCACATAAAATACTTGAACCTTCAAAAAACAAGTCAACTGATATTTTGTTCAATCATATACAAAACAATATTTATTCCAAGGAAATTTTAAAAATAATACTACACGCCACCACTGTTTGTATAAATAACATAGTTTAATATTTTTCACATACCCTAACGGCCGGTTGCCCAGTTATTATAGAAGCGTTTTTCAAACGTTCCGATTTAGCGAATTCCTTGAAAAATATTTGTAATCCCGAAGTAGAACCGGCCGCTGTGTTTCGTCTCAATATACATTCCCAATTCGTAGAGTTCGTTTGAGTCATATCCATATCAGTGTCCAGTGTATTAAACATAGGGCTGAAAATTCAAGTTGCATAATTTATTATATTTTATTATTATTTTTTTTAAATATTATTCAACGAGTGAATGTATTACCATTGTGATTTTTTTACGGAAGTCAGTGAGTTGAATGAATAACAAAAACCTTCTTCTGATCTCTGTAAACTGAACAAGTCACAACAGTTGTAAGAGTGTCCTATCCAAAAACAAGCGTTGAAAACTTCGTTACATGTCGGCAATACCTGATACGGTAATCAAAGAAAATTAAAAGTAGGTACAGAATTAATTATATTTTGTACTTGATACCAATATTACAATTTTAAATATTCTAGGTATAAGTGTATAAATAGTAGGTACCTACATTTAATTACTTACTTGTAACATCAAATCTGTAATATTTATGGTGGTTAATTTGGACAGAAAATCACTTATTCCATTATTTAAGTAATGTAACATTCTACTGTAAAGCGGATGTTGAAATAGTGTCAACACGTTGAGGAAGGTGTCCAATTCGGATTCTTGATATGAAATGTTTATTCTATCGGCTACGTACTTATAAGCCACCGTACGTTTTATTTTGTCCATAGGGCAAACATTGACAGCAGGAAACGGGAGCGAGTATAGCGCCAAATGTGTGTCCTTGACGGCTGTAACCGTCGGCGAGGAGTTGAATTTTAGCCACATAGTGTGTACCAGAATGCTAGCGCAGACAAAACTGGCCAACACGATGACTAACCAAGCACACCTGGAATAACGTAGATACACGTCGTCATCGACGTGTGATTATTATGGTGTCAATTAGTGTATGTCTTATCGTTAAGACTATTTAAAATATCAAACCGTTCGATCAAGCTGGAATTATCTTTAAATATATATTGGACACCGTGCACAGTACAATAACGAGCGTATTCTCTGAAAATATTGCCCAGCTGTTTACTTTTGGTTATCGCCAGTCTTTCGACGGTCGAATATGACCAAGCAAATTCTTTTTTCCAAAACGTTGGTGCCTGTTTAGGGTTCATGTTCACGCTGGGTCCAAAACACAATTAATGGGTTTTTAGTAGGTGTCAACTAGCTATAGTGCTTGCTTGATAGTCGATATGCGCATGTTGAACTTATATAATTAAGGATAGGATGTGTTGAAAAATAAACACTAACCGTTATACAATACGTAAATACTGTTTGGATACGTTTATTAGTTTATTATAATGATACGTGTTTATACAATACATAGGTACCCTTTATACTATTTGTACAGTCTAATGAATTTGTTAACACATATTTTCAGCGTCCAATAAATGAATTCGGCTACACTCAATATGCTGAACCCCAAAAATAAGTTTGCAACACCGCCCAGCGCCACTGCAATATAAATAAATAAACTAAAATAATTGGAAACTTGATTAAACAGTGTATTGAATAAGTTCAATACTTGAATTGAGAGGGCGGAGTTTTTAAATTATTTTTTTCAAAATAATTTAGTGTACTCTTTCTTATATAATATCCTAATCGATATGACAATTTAAATTTTCTGGTAAGTACATTTTTTTTACACTTGCATCCCCCGTCTAATTATTTTTTACAATTCAAGTATTGACTTACTGTTCGTTGGTCAATGGTCAGTGCATACAGATATATACATATATTTCCTTTATACCCACCCAAAAGGTCGGTCCAAGCAAAAGTTATGTCCCTTTGATATTTTTTGGAACCCAAGTTTCCATATGCCACATCCAAGTAGCTGAACAACTTCCAAACAGAAGTTCTTTGATCCGGAGACGACTCCATCTCGATTTCATGCGTTGTCTCGTAACAAGTAGGTATGCACTGTGAACAATCCAAGGAATCGCGTATGAGTCGAGCCTCGAAACCAGGCGTTCCTTTGGGTGGTGTTAGCATTCTAATGTGACCTGCAAATCAAACTAGTGTTATGTATATAATTATAAATAAAAAACAGATAATTATTTGTATTACAGTAATAGAATAATTATTTGACTA